CACTCGCAACAGAATAAGGTCATACAAGCGCCAGAAGATTAGTGGTGTTACAAGAGAGTAACAAACATAAAAAAGAAGGAGGGGAGATAAGGACGATAGATTTTTTTATAGGAAAGAAGAAGCAAACCACACCAGAGCACCCGCCAACCACCCACACAACTTCTGAGTGCAGCTGCAAACAGCCCAATTGTTGCACTACAACATGGGCTAAGGACTGGAGCAAAAGTATCACCTGGCTCACACACAAGTAACATTACATCACGTTCATAAGGAAGTCGTTTTTGGCAGGTTTGGAGTTTTTGGTTCTGTAATGAAGAGCAGAGCCAGCTTGGTAGTATAGTTCAGTTGGACAAAAGAATAATCCACATATAAAATCAATTGAGAGTACCAAAATTCAAGCATTCCACAGAGTCAATTGTTCGACGAAAGAAACAGTTTTTTTCCATTTTCTCAAAATGGATAAAAATGACTTAGGCATTTATCTTATGAGCATGACGATAAACACTCAATCAATAATTATAACAAGATTTTTGTCCTGTTCAGGTTTGGGGAAAAAAGCCAAAGGTCAATACATGGACAACGCAAACAGCTAATTGAGTCGTACATAGTTCTTCCCATTTGCAAAGCTAAGGAAAGACAAAACTCATAAGTTTAAATATTTTTTAAAAAAGCAAAACTGTAGCACCTATGGAACAGGTAAAAGACAAATAGGCAAACACAGTAGGACACTGTTCAATAAAAATGGACTGAACAGAATATGGCTGAGAAAAAATCCAACCCATAACCAATTTTGCCTTTTTAGGCAAGCCAAAATATCGTCAGAATTTTAAAAAATCCCTTCAATTAGCAACAGTGTACAAACATATGGCAGGACAAAGTTGAACAAAAAAAGCCTTATCTAAAGGAATCCAGGCCTCTGCACTGACCCCAATGATAATGCAGTAAACAAAGAGAGGAGCACAACTACACCTATTCATAAGGCACTAGTAACAACTAATGGTGAACACTGCTTGTTCTAAATAGACATTAATTCTTTTTTAAACGTACATATTTTTATGCCCCCATCAACACTATTTTGTATAATTTTTAGAGGCAGGCTTCAACCCTACCTGTCACAGCCAACCTGAGCTGAGAATGATACATCATCCCAGCTGAAAGACAGATACTCCGTTCAACTCAACATGCAAAAATCTAACTCAGGTCCTCTGCCTGTGGCAGTGAAGTGCCTAAATGCTACACCACAGACAATATAACATTTCAAACAGGGGGGGGGGGTAGTTGTAGCCTCCTCTGATAGTATAGGTCCTACTTCTTTATTCTCCCTCTGTTATTTCTACCTGTGACGCTTATTTTTCCTCAAGCATTTAATTACTTTTACTGTGCCGATGTACTTTTTTAACTCACAAAAATAGTCAAACATCTCTGACAACAATATCCACTGTGAGAGCTATATAGTCTGAAACAGCATGCAAACCACACTGTTTCTGTACAAAACTTGATAATATGTTACCTAAAAGATGCCATCAAAAAAGATAAATGTTAAATAATTCTTCTTAAGCTTTCCTCAAACAATAACAAGAAATTCTTGCACATCATCAGTGTTTACAAGCATTTCTAAAAGCTGAAATATTTCAAGCCGGTGGAAGATTTGTTACTGATTGGAAGTGAAAATGGATGAAATATAATGAACAATTACGTGAGCTAATAAAAACTTATCCTACTTCTATAGATATGGGTGGGCAATAAAATTTTTTATTAAATAATCATTAAATGAGGCGAGAGAATACTGAACAGCCAAAGCAAATATGTTCCGAAGTATGGTATCTTTAGATTTTATACTACTTGTATATTTTGCAGCACTGATCTCTCAATTGGCTTTAAAAACTATTTGTACTTTTAAGAAGTGTCTGTAGACACTTAAATGAACTAGGAGTACACTTTATACTTTATATGACCAGCTGGGTCCTAATGCTTGCTGGGTCAGTCCAATTTTTCAAAATTAATTGTCCTCTCTTTTCTTGATCTACAAAACCCATAGAACATTAGGCAAAAGACTTGGAGCAGGTTTGTGCAACATGTGATGGTCACAGAGAGGTCACCCAATTTAAAAAGTCTCTGTGTGGACAGCAGATGGCCAGTCTTTCACCCGCCAAAGAAAATATTTTTTATTAATTTCTTTTGACACAAAGAGGCTGTGCAACTGTCAGTTTTCGCTGGATATGTAATACCTCTTTACTGTCTGCCAACACCTCTATTCTTCACCACTATATGATCTATTTATGTTGTCATTATTCTCTTACTAATATAAAAAAGTCATCACGTTTTCAAATTGTATCCTAAAATGGCTCCAGGGCAACCACACAAAATTCTGTTTAATTAAACGGAATAAATAAATATGGAGAAAGGTCCCAGTTGTCTGAAATTTTGGATATTGAAATAATGGCACATTCTTGGTACAAATTCATGCAACAAGCTGATTTTAAACTTTTTCAAATATCTCAAGTAGTTTTAAAGATATTCCACATTTTGTGACACAAGGTGTAAAAACAAAGTTTGGAGAAAACCCAATTTCTAGCGCATTTCTAATCTTTTCTAAAGTACAACATTTTGCAAAAATAACTAAGTACAAATATTTAGACTTAAAATATTATAAAATCCATTTTAATATGTTATTAAGAAATGGTTAAACGTGTGTTTATGATATAACTAAATTGCTTACCAGTACAACTTTTTTTTTTTCCTTTTCCCCTCATTGGTCAAAAGTAGCTTTGCCGTCAAAGGGGACCTTTCTCCAGGCACACACACACATATAACAGGCGTGCACAGAACTGAGAGCAGAGCAAGTTTTAAGATATTGGTCTCACAGCCTTTTTTTTTAGAATCTCCCAAAGTCAAAATATGTTCAACAAATGAGATTAAAAAATAGAAAAACTAACATTGCTTTAATTGAAATACTACAATATGATCGCAATGGTGGCGTCAGGCGCTGGCAAGCAGTGGCAAACTAATTGCTCACAAGGCCAAAGGGGTGGCGTTAAAAATCAGAGTGAATGGACTTCTCCTAATGATGTGTGTTGTAATGTGTGCTGAAGAGTTAAATAAAACAACCAGCCCAAGGATTCTTTTCACTCTTTTAACAATGTATTACTGGCCAAGGGATTGAGAGGGGCAGCTCAGAGAACAACCTGAGGTTCTAGTTTATTGCCTTAAATAGAGATGGGCCTGACAAGGTGATGCAGCAACAGTGAGTGCTGTAGTGTGGTAGGTAATCATTGTACAGAAAAATTAGGCTCAGTGCTGTGAGGTGTGGAAACTATTTTGTTTCAATCGCTAGCAGAACGAAGCAAAAGTAGGTAAAAATGAACAGTCGGAAATACAAGTGCGCTCTAATTTGATACAAAAATATTCATGAGAATTGACCTGACAGGTTCAAATGACAGTTTGAGTGAATCCAAAAACTTTACAATTTGACTACGATATACTGAGATCATTTCAAGAGTTCATTAAGAATATTATACACAATTGGCATGTGACCTGGGACTCTTTTATTATGCAATCAAGGGATGCACCTTAAATATGCGTGAGGGTGTGTGTGTGTGTGTGTGTGTGTGCGCGCACGCCCGTGGGTGTGTGCGTGTGCAAATGTGTGTATGCATGCGTGACTGTGTTGGTGTGGGCCTGTGAGTGTGTGAGTGTGTGTGTGTGTGTGTGTGTGTGTGGGTGTGTGTGTGTGTGAGTGTGTGTGTGTATGCATCTAGACGGTCAAAAGCTGAGTATAACTAGAATACTTCAATAATTGTTTTGCACATTTTTTCAATACCTCAAATAAATCAAACTTAATGATTGGAGAAATATGTTCAGGTAGTGTGTTCACAAAACAAACACCCTCACAAAAAAAAAAGGAAAATTACAGATTTTAAAAAAGTGGAGAATACAAAAAAATATTTGAAGTTCAATTATAAAATCACACGTAGACCCATTCCTGTATAAATGAAGATGGACTTTCTTTTACAAAAAACAAACTGGCTTTAAAAAGCCATTCCCAAGACATTAACAAACAATGGTGCTCGCATCACTACAATCAGCACAAAACAAATTTGACGGTGAGCAGTTTAAGGAGACATAAGACATCAGTACAATGCATTATAGTGTATAAACATACATATGCTCTAAGTCTTTCCTTTCTCCGATTAAATTGATAAATTTGAACGGCTTATCCATATAAACTTAAATTACAATAATCACAAAGAGGTAAAAACCAAAGAAACAACAGCTAAAAACCCGTAAAAATCTCTTTACATTAAAATATATATCACTCAAATTGTGGAAGGAACAGCAGTTTTTTAAAAAAAGGAGAATTTTTTAAACTGTGAAAATCTTGAATACCAACACAAGATCTTTTCCACAAACATTTTAAACAGTATTTACACTCTTACAGACTTCCATGTGATCTAGGTTACTTATTGCTTGCTCGAAAACATTTTATGCTCTTATTGACACACCAAATCATTCAGGACCTGGTTGGCTTCAACCCTTCCTTTTATGGCTAGTCCAGGCAGAGTGGGATACAACATCTCCAGCAGACAGACTTGGATACTTCATCAAAAAACTTCCTTACTTGGGAATCTAACTCGTGGGTTTTTTTTAACACACAAAAACAAAGTCTAACCATTGCAATACAGACTCCATTCCAGAACTGCACTACTGTTTGGAGTTTTTGTAAATATGTACTGAAGTCTAAACGTACACTTATGATCTCAAAACTTAGACCTTTATAAAAGTGCAAATTATGATCCCTCTACATATTTCGATGAAAAGTGACTCCTGGGTCACAAAATACTGCCAAACCACTTTTATACTCTAAACAATCAGGCATACACCAGATGCTTTCCAATCAAAAACACAAGACAGATGGGTTCATGTCTGTTCACAAAGTCTCATGTCACCCATCAAGAGCTGAACTTGTGTGTTATAACTAGAGTGGGAATATTTTCTTTTTCTGTAAAAAAATGTAGTGTCTAACAAACCACATATGCCTGCCACTCTGCAAGACCAGCCTGCAACATCTGTTTTTTCCAATTACGGAAGTTGGGGCCCTACTCAGGAAAAGTGGGATGCACTCCAGCAGAAAGACAAGGATAATCAATTTAATATCTTTCCAAAATGGAAATAAACGTTAAGTGCTTCATTTGCAAAGCAAAGACAAAGAGCTTAACTATCTAACCATTGATGACTGTAAAACTTTCTATGAAATGATTATCTATCCCTCTGGCGAGCAGCTGATGACAGAAATGGGTGATGGTCATTGACTGACTGTCACTTATCCAAAGTGAACAATTTTTGCAAACGATAATCATTCCTTGTTCAAAATGTCCATATCTGAGAGCACAATCTGACTGTGGCATCAGTAACACTCAGAGAAAGGTAGATACAGGGATGATGGCGAGGGGACACACATTTGTAGCACTATGATTTAAAAAAAAAAAGAAAAAATAGAAATGCACATCGCCTCCATGAAATTTTACTTCCCCTGCTCACTATAGTTTCAGGCTTTACTGGGTGCACTGGTAATTTCTCTATTATTTTAAACTTAAATCATTATAATTGTAGCCTGAGATTAATACATCCCTATGTTGTGTAAATGAAAAGAAACCAGGGTGCTACAGACCACATAACTGCCCTGGGATCTTCAGACAACTCCTCGTACAGAGCCAAACAAATTTGAATAATCAGCTAAGGGAATGAGATATCTGTGGGGTGCTACACTTCACCATTGAAAATGGTAAATGTATTTGGACACAAAATTATAGTCAAATTCAGTACTTGATGTTGATCTGTGTTACACTTCACCACTAGGAAAAGGTATTTATGTCGATGACTAATGGGAAAGTTGCGTACAGGTACACTGAGAAAAGAGGAAAATATCACTTTGGTAACCACTTCTAAAATGAGATGAAACAGTAGAGTAAAATCATTTATATGATGTTCTTTTTCATACTACTTACATGAAACAGCAATTTATACTGCAGGAAAAAGGTGAAAATTAATTTTTTTAAAACAGAAATGAACATTTTAAGACATTTTTTAAGGGAAAAAAAAAGATTCCAAAAATGCATCTGAAACTGGAATTCTACCATAAAAAAACTTAACAGAAATTCAGTATTTAAAGATGAAAACACTTTCATAACTTTCTGCATCCAAATAAAACAAAGGTACAGGGTAAAATGTATAAACTTGAGCACATAAATCAATCTATTACAATGACTAGTCGCAAAAATCTATTTAGGCTAAAACTGTACTCCAACTATTTCTATGGGCCAAGTAAGTTGAATTCAAAACCAGCCACTTCATGTCTATATAAGAGGTGATCTCCTCTGTCACTTCATGGAAGGTTTTCAGTTTGCATTCTGACAGATGTACCTCTGCACCAGCTCAGGCACAGGCAGTTTATTGACATCTTTACAGGACACGAGGTGAAGGACAGCTCGCCGACACAGATCCTGGGGAAAAACACAGGCAGTTTTGTTTGGTGCAAGTTGTATGGCACTCACAACTGCATTAAGTCAAATGAGTGCGTAAGACACAAGTTGGTTATTTTCACGTCTGTTTTTGTTAGAGTCAAAAGAAGCAGGTTGACACATTAATGGTCAAGTTGTGCAACACCCCCCCCCCTCCCCCAAAACCCCCTCAGCAACAAACAAAAAACAAAAAAACCCAGCTGACACATGGGAAGTCAAGAAGTAGGACCTACCCTGTAATACCCTCCAACAGCCCTCCAGAATGGCAGGCAGCTAGTTCAGATCAGCCAGATATGTGAGAGTCTTGAGTGAAATCCTACAGATCAGCTAAATATGTGAGTGTTTAAAGTGAAAGGCTTCAGAACTGAAGGGGCAGGGCACGATTAGCCAATGAGATGAGTGAGAGAGTTTGTGTGCATGGTGTGCACTTTTCTCCATTCAATAAATCCAAGCTATTCAGAGTAGACCTGCAGCAAAAGATATCTCGATTTATGGGCTTCGTTCTCATTATCATTCGCAAATCCAGTCTTGTAAGTTCATATTTTTTTTCATCATCTGCAAGTCTGCAAAGAAAATTACTAGGAAATAGAATACACATTTTCTGACATAAAAACGGACTTGCATACTCAGACCCTGAAAAACGTTTGAAATACATTTTTTACGTACTGGTTGGCAGCTACACGACAAACGTTTGATAGGAAAGTAGGAGCAAACCACACCAGAGCACCCGCCAACTACCCAGTCAGTACCTGTAAAGAGCGCAGTTCTGTGGGTAGTTTGTACACAAAAACCTTGCGGCCGCAGTTCCGCTGCTTCATCACTGCCAAACACGACTCACTGAGAGAAAATCTGGGAAAGACCTGCAGGTTCACAAACTCCGACACTGGCCAGTACGCACCTCTCACTTCAACCTGAACAATAAGAAAAATCTAGTCAGAGAAATTTTAAAAACTGACTTCAACTCCATAGCACTTACAAAACCAAACACATGAGATCACGGTGGAACTTCAGGAATCATGTTTTCTCCTTCGGTGCAAATCCCGGGTAAATTAAAAAACTTTTATAGTTATAAAAAAAAAAAGGACAGTTTACTTCCTACAACCGTCATTTGATAGACACCATATACATCATAACTTTGGACGTGATAGTTGTAAACTGCATAGAGCACGCTATATACATGCAATCATTACTGTTATTAGATAGCGTAAACACAGCCTCACACTCGTGGCCTTCTGAGCGCGTGGTATCGGTGAAATTGGGGTAATTCACATCACTGTTTCTTCGCTCTTTCGCTATAAAAGACCAAATGCCATACACCTTGTAAAAGTTCAGCTTTTCCTCGTTTAAATGGTGTAAGTTGTTTATATGTCCGATTATTAGGAGCTGGAGAATCGCTGTGGAAAGCAAAGCCCCTCGCGGTCGGAACGCGTGGTCGGCTGGTTAAAAAATTGACACACCTGCATTCAAATGCTTCGCTGAAAGATTGAGGATTAAATACCGTCTTTTCATTGGCTGAGAACTGTAGAGCTTTGGACGTGCTTTCCTGTAGTATACATTTGGCCTATGGCATTTAAATAAAAAGCCTTTAAAATGTCGTCAAAGTTTTTAAAAATCATTTTTTACATAAAACATGTAAAATAGCGGCTCCAAAAAGGTATCAATAGAAAGATCAGTTTATTTTCTATTAGAATAAAGTAATTGGCTTGGAATTATTTTTCATCAATCCTTCCGACAAACTTGGAAAGCATGTGACCCCCATGCGGGGAGCGTTTGGTACACTACAGTATAGTAGGGTCGATTCGCTTGCCGCGGGGGGCTGGTGGGACGCCGGCCGGGTCAACGCTCTGTGCTTTTGTCAAAATAACGACAGATCATCATGTTTGCGGCGATAAAATACTGATTTGTAATGGTCTTACAGTCTTGAAAAAAATTCTCAGGAGATATAGGCCTTTCATATGGAAGAGATAAATTTGGCATATAGCTACTTTGAAAATTTAGTTTCTGGTACCTAATATTATTGATTATTATAAGTTTGGACATCCTTACCCTCATCCCACAGAAAAAGTGTGACAAAACACAGCCAAAAGTACACAAAAACAAAACGAGAAAGAACAAAATAGTCACCAACCCGCATTGCCTTGGTGAAAGACGGATAATGCAGGATGAGAATTCTGTTGAAATGGCAGCCGTCAGCTGGGTACGTGTATCTTACGGCCAGAAAATCTCCACTTGGACTGGACCTGAGAAAAGAAAACAGAGTCTGAGAATTTGACGCAAAATACATCACTGAGGGAAATGATTAAACTTCAGATGAACTTTGTTAATCCATTGAGAAAATTAATTAGTATTTTAAATTTTCAAATAGAATAATCACATGAGAACCACATCAACCTCACTATGGCCATTTGATGTAAGCAAAACAATCAGATGTAGAGAACAGAGGGAACACAAAGGATAAAAAACCTACCAGTGGCACCCTCTAATCCCTCACCCACCCACTCCCCACCCCAGTATTAACTAACAGTGTGCTTTCACAAACTCTAAAGTCACAAGTAATTACATAATGATCAACAAGGGGAAACGCCATGTCTACACGTATAGGTATAGCCCCTGTCAAAACTATTAGTTTAGTTAAGAGGCAGGACCTTTGAGTTTAACATCCACCTCCGAAAGGACCGAGCCAAGAGGGAAATCTGTGTAAAGTGCCTTTTTCCAAGGACACAAGTCGGACTGAGCTGAGGCTTGAGCCCACAATCTCACGATAGCGAGTCAAGTAGCCTGACCACTAGGCTCCCGATGCCACAAACACAATGTCTCTGACACGGTCCACAACTAAAAGCCAAGACCCATGTTTTCTCTCTTTTTCTGTATCTCTCTCCCTTCTCTTCCTCTCTCTTTCACACAAACAAACACATAAAAAAAGGGTTACCTCAGAACAATTATAACATAAACATGTTCAATATTATTGCATTTCTATTAAGAATTAAATTGTCAATTGTTTTTGTTGGAAATTTTTTGGTAAACAAAGTAGGTGAAATTAAGACATCTCTACATAACACAACTCTTAAAAAAACCCAACTAAGTAAAGGTCATTTTCTGATATGAACTTTCCACTATGATGAGAACCAAATGCCAACTTAAAAAATTATATTTGAACACCAATTAGTTACCAGCTGTCAAGCTAGTGTCTACAATAATTGTCTAATCTGAATAAACAACTAGCATAAACTACAACTTTCAGCAACATAGTCAGATATCCAGGAGACCAAGTTTTTATCTTGAAAAATTTGATCTTTACAAAGGCAGCCCTAAAAGCTTTTACTTTCCCTGCCTCGAACTGAACTAACCAAGACCCAATATATGATTATTCAATAATTTTTATACCTGTATCAACTGTGTTTTATTTTAACCAAAACATAACAATTGTCACAAAAAACTACACTCACACCTACATGTGCGTACACTTCCACATACCTGATCTGATGTATGTGAGCATGAGGAATCATTAAGTTGTGCACCGAAACCACAGACCAGTCATCTGTTTTATACACCTGGAAAACGAAAAAACATCTAAACTGTCTCAAAAAAAAACCCGAGCACCTCTGTTTGGACCCTGTTTCAAAGGGCAAGTAAAAAAGAAGTTATTCATCTTTCTTATGACAGCGATACCAGTCTTATACTTTATACATTGAGCCATAATGGCATATTATAAAGGTTTTTATTTCACATTCTGTAAAAAACACCAAAGTCCGTCTTTCTATGAGCATCTTTTTTTCTGGTGTCTTTGAATAGTATTTTAAAATTCTGAACATTTCTATATGCCATACAGAGAGTTTTATCAAATGTAGATATTTCTTTACTAACTTTTTGTGAGACTACACCTGAGGTCATGAAAGCAGTCACAAATTATTTGCATCCTGAGTCAAAAATATCTGCGGGCTGAATCTGTTAACATCTTAAGTCTTGAAAGGGATTCAAACACACACGATTTATATAATTTTTCAGGGTCTTACAAGCTGAGCTACTATAGCACAAGCACCTATATTTACCGGAAAAGAGGGAAATTTTAAAAAGCGCCACCGCAAGTGTATTTAACTCTTTTTATCCGGGCTATGAGTAAACTCGTAACGAGGACCAGTCCAGGCTACGAGTAAACTCGGAACAGCTATACGGTCACGTCAAAAAGCTAGTTCTGCTTGCAATTACCAAAATACGCAAATACGGCGATGCCAGCTCTGTCTGAATATTTCAATGTTGCAATGAACAACGGTTTCTTTGTTTTTGATGGGTGTAGAAGCTTGAAAAATGTCTTGAAAACCCACATTCACAACCGACGAAGTACCTTTTGAAGTGGCGCTGGGTCGTGAGGGGGGAATGAGACTAATTTTATTAAAATGACTCTGAATCACATGCCACAAATTCCGTTGTGGATGACAACGACTGGACCAGTACTGGAATTTGTGCGGTACAGATGGGTAGGGGCAGATCTAGATCTATAAATCCAAGGGGATGTCGAGGCCGCTGCAATCAGGATCAAGTTGGAGGGAGGAATACATCTCAAAACCTGCATGGTGCAATTGGTGTGATTCCTAACCACATACATTTACAAAAACTACATTCAATTTCTAACATAACTGCCAAATGTCCTTAAAATCTAAGAGTAAATGCAAGAAATACAGCACTCTGAAATATGCACGCTGAATTCCAGCTCATATGGCGCGGCAGCCCAAGGACGGGAACAGAGTCTGCGGGGGTACGGCCAGGATAAAAAGAGTTAAATGAGGACATTAAACACTGACATTCCATAAACTCCTAGTTGTTCACCACATTATGTTAATGTTGAAAAGTGTCACATCCTATGAGAATAACTGATGATCCCCAAGAAAGCATGTGCAGTCCCATTCAATTTGCAACAGAATATTTTAAAAGATATTTTGCGAGTCTAAACCTACACCTAAACTTTCAAAACTTTTTAAGTGCTGCGGGACAAAAGAATAGAAAGCCACATCAGTAGAATAGAACAGAAAATCACTGGGACGTGAAACAAGTTTAGAATATTTCAGCATTCATTAATTCTGGAAACATCTAGAAAAGTGGCACTTTCAGCACCTGTATGATGCGCTGACCAGCAGCTATCACATGCTCGTCCCCCAAGAGAGCATTGTAGGTGATGCTACAGTTGGGGAGGTACGTAGGAATCTTGCTGATCGTGATGTCCGACATCGGAGGGTAACACTTGATGTTCTGGGGAAATAGAATGACATGGGAGTGGAGGGTAACATTTGTGTCATGACGCGGTGGAATCGGGTGCTAGTAAATTTTTGGGCACGTGGAGTTATTGGTATCATCTGAAAGCTGATTTATTTGCCTTGCTTCCAATGAAATATATTTCCAACTATCTTTAATAGCACTTAAGATATTTGCGATTGAAGGAAGTGATGTCGCCTGGTTTCAGTGGTGAAATTAGTGAGAAAAAGGCCGCCAAAGTTTGATAACTCCAATTCCAATAGCTAAAGAGTCCTTGAAAACTGAAAATTGACATATTTTGTGCCTTTAATCAATATTTTTAGGTAAAATGCACATGGAAATGTGTTTTGTATGTACATAAAAGAGGTTAAGCCAAAAAATTAAAAATTCGATTAAACTTTCCAAACTGACGGAAAAATACCCGTTCCTCCAATTTCTGTATTTAACGAGCGCCTGATTTCACCATGCTGCCTCACATTTGATGTTGTGGAGAAGTAAAATCATAAAATGATATGGGAGGGTACCATTTTCAAATAACTTCAGTCTCAGATCTTGATAGACAGCCTCTGCAAATTCTAACACTGTCCATTGCAACATATTGAGGTCTTTGAACTCAGATAATATTCAAACTCTCCATTCACTTGGTTCTCAATTATCACAGATGGACGTAGGAATCAGAGCTGAGGCCCTTTAAAGTACCTCTATAGTTAAAAGGAATACAAGGAGGGTAAAAACCCATTTTTGACACATTGAAAAACACATTTCAGCAAATTTTGCTTTCAATTTGGAAAAAGTAAAGCTATCAAAAAATTTAAAAAAAACAACCTTACAGTTACAAACACCGGACCAATCACCCACCTGCACTTCATAGTTAATTATAGCTTGGAAATGGTAGCGTACATCTGGCCGTAGGACAATGTGCGATGTACTTGGGGACATGTGGACTTCGTACCACCGCCGCACGTTGTTGGCAATCACAAAATGTCCACTGCAGACTTGCTGGTCCATGTCAATGACGTAAAACTTAGAGAAGGGTATAAATCTCTCTGTATTGACCTGAAAGAAGAAATTTTGCAAGTCTTTTGCAAGAAGAAAAATCCTTTTCTAAAAAACAAAATTATCTAAATACCCTCCTTTTTAAAGAAAGAAAAAACTTTTGTCTTTTGAGTACAGGGGAAAGGACAATCTTTAGAAAATTCACAACTATTCTTAATCTAATACAGTGGATCTAGGATGAATAACGAGTCTTGCTTTATCACTTCCATCCTGGTATTCCTTTAGGAAGAGGAGTAACAAGGAATGGAGCTCCCCCCTACCCTTTTTTTTTTTGGTAAGTGTTTTACGGCGCTCGCAACTGCATATAAGGACAAACGACACACATAACATTTCCATTTTGTAGGAAATTTTGAATTTTGCCCAGGTGGCGGCCGAAGCCTACGGAACCTCCGAGATTTTTTTCGCCCTTGTCCGAGAAGGCTAGGTGTAGATCTTTCCTACCATACGATCAGGGGTGTGGCTGAAAGACAGCAGTAAGAAGGAGCCAAGGAGAAGCAGTGGAAAGGCAGCAGAAAGAGTCAGGAGCCCAAAGGAGGGGGCATAGGAGGTGAGGGGGTGGGGACAGAAAGTGGAGACGAAAGCAGACCACAGAATATTGATAGAGAGCAGGAAAGGAGGGGAAAGGAGACAATATTAGAGAAGAAAATGTTTCAGTCGCTATCCGGATTCGAAAATGTGACCTTCGAATGAGAGGCCATAACCTTACTCTCTAGGCCAAGAGAGCTCTCTGTCCATCTTCTAAGTGCCATGATTATGATCTTATTCATATCACACGGAATGCGGATAAGAACGTACCTGCACAATGATGTATCCCTTATGGTATGCCACGACCCGAGTGCACCGATGGCTTCTCCTTTTCCGTCGAGGTCGGTTGTGACGCAGGTAAGCAGACAACTCTGTTGATGTGACTCGCGGAACTTTAATCGTAATGCAGCATGACGTCTCCTTTTCTTGAATCATTAACTCATTTTGGGTTCTGCAGTAAAGAGGTAAAGAGATGAGGATGGAAACTTGCATCACCTAGTCTTTTTTTCCTCAAATATTATGCTTGACTCTAGGCTGGTGCATTACTTCATACGTACAACAGCAATGTACTACATCAAGAGTCAAACTGCAGAACTTGAAGAAAATGTTTAAATTTATTCCACACAGGTCTTAGATATATCTAAAATAAAAGAGTTTCTTTTCTTTCCATAGAAATCTTTCATAAAATGGGTATTTTTTTGCTCACAGAAATCTGAAAAGAGGATACTTTTCTTTCTTTCAATTTAACTAAAATTTTTATCATCAATGAGTATATACAGAACTTTGAAACTGAAAATGAATTATGAAATTTAGGCAGTTAAAAATAGGCAACCCAACCCTGTTCCAGTTTATTTTGCAACTGACTTACTTGAATCCGCTCCTAAAGAAGCGGCCCTCCGTCGTATCCGGCCTGTTTGGGGAGCCATTGAGCTGTAGCAGTGAGTGTCGGCTTGAAGTGTAATCTGCTTTATCCGAGAATCCGCACACTTGCCTCTGTTCACGGCACCAAGCACCAAAGGAACAAGTCAGGAGCTCATCTCCCACATGACTTGTCTTCAGTTTATTGTAAAACTCAACTTTACTGTTCTTCTTGCCTTTTCTGCCCTCCCTTGGAGAGTGGGTCACAGAGTTACCCATTTTTTTAGAAACTATGATGATCCTGGAACTAAACACAGAAAAAACAAAGTTGAAAATATTTTTTTTCCAGAATAAAAGCAAAAATAAGCAATGAAAAATACTAGAATTGGGCTAAAAAAGACCAGCTTCTCTTAATGATAAGAAAACCTTTCCTTAGAACTGAGCCCATCAATGCCACAGTAAAAGGATTCTGTCAATATCACATTATACAATCACTGTTAGAAATAAAATGAATAGAATTCCAGAACTGGCAGGACTAATCTCAACCTATGAGTGTCTAAGGGGCAACAGCTTGAGGGCTTGATCTCTGTACAAGATCCTACAAAAATCTATAAATGTCTGCCAGTCAGCAGAGGCTGGGCTAAATATGGTAAATGCAATTCTTCTTCAAGTCCTCAATATTCATTTAGCTGTAGCAGCTGTTAGATTGATGCCCCCAGCCTAGACAGATTTCCTGGATCTTGTCAATGATTAGCACTCATGTCATCAGATCTCCCCCCCCCCCCCCTTCCCTTTCCTTCCATTATGAAACAGATGTCTCACACTTCTCACCTTCTCACCTACCTAGGCATTCGCAGCTACTCGTATTAGAACAACCATATTAAAATTACCAATACAATTGTTACGTACACCCTTTTATCTATCAGCTTTTTTGGGGGGATAGGGGTTGCCATGAAGGGGAAGGGGGGGGGGGGGCCCTCAAACCCAAAAAAAGGAATTTGGGGGGGGGGGGGGGGGGGGGGGGGGCGGCAGGAGCAGACACACTGAAGTATATCAAGCAAGCATTCTAGTTTTCAATCGATTTCCAAAATTGCTCTTTTATTTTTGTCTACTACCAGTAGTACTACGTCCTCCCCTTAGCTAGATCTCTGGAGTAGTAAACAGTTTAAGAACTGAGGGTGAGATGATTTTATTGCATTATAAATGGCGTGTTCTTCTTTAGTAGCGGGTACTGTCTTTCACCTTTCAGTCTTAAGGTACAGTCAAAATTGTCCTATAATTACGGCCACCAACTGTCATGGAAAAAAGTGTTTGTCTTAGACAGGTGGACATCTCAGACCATGTTGATTGTTTGCACAGGTAGCCATTAGAGCAGGTCTGTGTACATTTATCTTAGATTCTTATATTGCCACCTAAAGTCTTAAATTATCACCAAGACGATAAAACTGTAAGCATGTTAAGAAAATTAAAAACACAACTGAAAATATTATTTGGAAGCCAAGAATTGGCATCGAATGGAGGTGTTTTTCTTTGGTTCTGTGTCCTGGTTTTATGGGTGCTAGATTACATGTGGGATACTTCTTAAAAGTGTTACACGTTGTAGTGGTTGAAAAAATTTTTTGGAAGTTGTTGCTGCTGCTGTGGTTGTTGCTCCTGGAGAAAGATGGCTACATTTGTCTGGATTTGGAACGATGATGATGACGACGACTACTACTACTACTAATTATCTTTTTGTTTTGTTTTAGTAGAGGTTTTACGGCGCCCACAACTGCATAAGGTCATATGATATGAGCGCCACTTATTATCTTTACAAGAAAAATAACAATTCCATTAATATGATATGACGGTACATATATATATATTCATTATATCACTCCTTATCATAGCTTTCCCCTTTTATTGGCCTTCCGATATATGTTCCTCGCACGCACCATTGAGGATTGTGGCCTATCCTGTTTAAACACTTTAGTTTCCAAAGTGTAGATCTAGTCTAGTCATTAATATTATCTTAAAAAATTTTCCTGACAAAGCCCTAAGCGGCGAAACATTGAATATAATATAAATGTTTCGAAATTCAAAGCAGTCTCCACCATTTTTTTTTTACCGTCTACAACATAATGATAATGATGATATATATATCAAAGCAGATTAAGTAACGCAGTTGAGAATCTATGAAAGTGATGATGATGATAATGTTAGTTAGCCGTTTAGTATCATTTTCAGCTCCTATTCTAGATCCCCGCCCCCCCCCCCAGGCTGTCCTTTGGGGCAGAACACATGCCTCATTTCCTCCCTTTGCATAGAATGACCAAATCTTGAAGCTATATCCTCATCACTTCCTTAACGTGTTATAACTTTAGGTTTGCCGAAATGTAATCACATGGGGTCTGTCTCTAGTTGATGACTGTGTAAGCAATATGAACCCTATCTCGGCTATCATTGGTCCAATAATAATTATGATTTTAGCAACCAAATTAATCTTGTATAGTTATAAAATTAGAGATACTTGTTTAAACTTGAGACAAAACAATGTCACACATTTTGATTCTCTTCCAAGTCATCGCTATCACCGGATCATGGATGGACTGTGATGGCCAGTGGATTTATTAATAGGAATAACTCAGTGAAATTGCAATGTGGTATAGTAAGACTTGTAGAGAGAGGTTTGAAAGTTTAAAGATCAGTCCAAAGGACAAACCCCAAACTTAACAAAAGCATCAACCTGCTGCAGCTTGAAAGCAAAGAAGCTTTGAAATTAGAAAACAAAAATAAAAAGGGTGGTGGCAGCTGATCACTGCCAGTATTCCTTGGTTAAGCTTAATGATAGTGATCTCTTTCACGGTTTGGCTCAGACATATCTGTCTTTTCATCACAACACATCAAGCGGCTCACTTATTCAAACTCATAAAAGATGGGTACTAAAGAGACCAGTCCTATAGGGTAACTCCAGGGCACTGGTATAGTCGAAAAAATGATGCTCTAACAACCACCTGTATAAAATGTAAGACAATCATCAGTATGAACGACCACTTCCCATTTCCTCTCTTGCCCATTTTTTACAAGCCCTATAATAATAATAATTGGTGTAAGACAGCCACCTGTTGAGGCCACTTTTCTCCTAAACAATGGCTGGCCATCTTAGGCAGTTTCAATTGTTCATAGTTTATACATATATATGTACCTTACTTTAAATGATTTTTAAAATACCCATCTACCTTGAATAGAGCAGTTGAGATATTTGAGATTGAAGGAAGTGCGAGTTGCCTGCTTTAAAAGGTAACATATATTCATATATATATATATATAGAAAATGGCCATCTAAGTTTGATAGCTTCCAAAGCTTGGAAACTGCAAATGCATATTATTTTAAAAGATCAATATTTCACAGCAAAATCCATATAAAGAAATGCTTTTAGTGGACATACAATGCTGAGCCCCCCCCCCCCCCCCCCCCCCCCATAAAAAAATTGCCCCAAGGGCCCAAAAAAGAATTTGACGAGCGCTTGACCTCACCCATGAATGCCCACACACATTAAAAAATATTTTTAAAAAACAACAACACTTGTATCACATTTTCTATCTGATCATTATCAGTTTCAAGCCCACAGCATCAATAATCAATATGGTAAAAAAAAACATGAAAAGACAGCAGATGATCTCAACAATGGCATCTAAATAAATAAAAAAGTCACGATTCAAATCAAATTGCTCTGAAAAAGAACAGACTTTAAAATTTCTTTAGGGGGGCCGTTTCAATATTATTTCTCCAAACAATTTCCTTTCTCGAGACTTTTTGGTTATTTGTGAATGGAGTGGCCCCGCCCCCCCCGGGGGGGGGGGGGGGGTTGTTTTTTTGGGGGGTAATGTGTAAAAAGGGTGTGGGTTAAAATTTAACCCGGGGGGGGGGGGGGGGGGGGGGGGGGATTTTTGTGTGACTTAGTTATTGCTTTAGGGGGGACTAAATGCAAAATTTATAGGTTACTGTCTAAGTCAAGCAGTCTTGTATTCTCGCAGTACCTTTTACTTTTGAAGACATTTTCAAATGAAGTACAGTCTATAGTCCGCGAACGTTGCCCCCCAACTACAATTTAAGTATCTTTGAATATTCAGAGAACTAAAAATTTTTAGCTCTAGATATTGAATTTGATGCACGCAAAAAAAATGCTTCTTCCCAGTCCTCGCAGAATGGCAGAATGATAGATGACGCTGAACTCTAGCAAATAACCAACAAGACCCGAGAACGGAAACCGTTAGGAGAAATAGAGTTCAAGTTTATTTTCCCGAGCGTACAGAGTAATAGTCACTTCGTTTACTCGTTTTCTTAAAAGAAACAGCAACCTACGTCAATTGCACTCAAATTGCAGGCCTAAAAAAGCTTCAAACTCAACTCCAAAATATGATTTGCACAGAACACACACACAAAAAGCGTTGTTGACATAATATAATAAATCATATAAAATGATTAAATGACGGTAGGCCATCAAGTACGCTAGTTAGTAGTATATTATCAGATGATGTCACTATGTAGCACTGTTTGAGACATTGACATTTTTATAGATTATTATCTTCTAGCCTAGATATCTATCTCTAAATAGATTCTCTTGCTCTGATATTAAAAACAAAAATTAAGGGCAAATGAGTGCAAATCAAAATAAGAACGATGTACTGTTAGAGACCTAGATTCTAGATCTAGTTCTATTAATTCATTCTCCAAAATTGGGGCAAACTAGAATCATCTGCATATATAGATGTATAGGACGTTACTCTTTTCATGGTAGCAAGCTATGATCAGCTGTGCACTGAAATAGGTCGACTGTGACTTAGTGTAAAGAACAGATCATAATAATGCACAAAAGTACACCTTAGAAATGTATTGCTACGCTTAATTACTTACCCCTAAATAAGTCTGCATGTAACATATTTTGAAAAGACTCCAGAAGAGAAATCGAGCAATGTCACGCTCACGAAATTGTTATAGTTATAGTGTACGGACAAGAACAATGGAAACGTCCATCTTCGGGCCAGCAGGCAACAGATTGGGACAGTCGAAACCCAATTATTAGGTCAAGGGAAGCAATTCCATCACGTGATCATAATATTTACTAAAGGTTACCAGTACTAACTAAACTAAACGCTTTTAATTTTTTTTTTTACTTAGACCACCTCTCTGCTTGGACTAACTCTTTACACTTGAAGGAGTAGATTAGATCTATATTTCTACATAACTAGATTTAGATCTATTTTCAATGTTATGGTTTTGAAAAAAATGGACGTACTTATAGGCTAATTACAACACAGGTTTATGCACACAAGAGCCAAGCCAAGTCTTTGCTCTCTGGTATTGTTTATCGAGTTTTTCTTCCTTCAAAAGTTATAAAAGTATCACTCAGTCACTCACTCTAGTATCAAAATGGCTGACAACAGTGGCATAACGAAGGTCGACAAATTGTCGCAAGCCGATTCCGATAAATATTTCATCAACAAAGTTGAAAAGAACAGAGCCCGATTGGGAACGAAAATGGTTGCATTGAAGGGCAAGAACAAATTTGTTGGTTTCTTCCTGGCATGTGGAGTTTTTGGTATATGTATCCTTTTTTACCCTCGTCCCCTCGTCATCGTCAGCCCCGTGCTATTTCTACTTTACAATTTTAAAAATAATAATGCCACACTTATATAAATGCAATATAGGTAACATAATCCATACCTTGTGATTGTGTTGCATTATAAATAATCTCTCTCTCTCTCTCTCTCTCTCTCTCTCTCTCTCTCTCTCTCTCTCTCTCTCTCTCTCTCTCTCTCTCTCTCTCTCTCACACACACACTCACACATACACTACACTACACACACGTGCACATGTACACCCCCCCCCCCCCCACACACACATACATACACACACACAAACACACACACTCAAATGAATACAGCAACATCAATAAATTGACTAAATCAATGTAGTGCACTTCTCTCCCCCTCTCTCTTTCTGTCTCACTCTCTTGACCCCTAAACCCTGTGCGGCACTGCGGTGCAAAGTGTTTGTCATAGAGATTAGAAGAGTGCCCTTACCGTGGCATTTTCTCTCAACCCGTGAATGCCGTGAAAAATGAGCGAATCGCGACACATCATATGCAAAATCCTTTGTAGCCATTTAACCACCAAATAAATAACAATAGACATCATTAAGAAAACACCCTTTCAATATGTGATAAAAAGTGCAAACACACCGGAAAACTAAAAAAGCGAAGTCAAAATTGGTACGACTACAAAATTTCGACTTCTTGGTTTGAAACTGTCCACGTGTTCGCAATGGATCCGAAAAAAAAGAAACGAACAGCGCAAGGGACATCAGTGCAGTTTTAAATTTACAAAAACAAAAGTAGTAGGTGAGAAATTGCCAAAACTAGACCAACTTCCGCGCTGGAGTCAGCGCCGCAGTCGGGCACATCAACTCTAGATCTAATTTTGTTTTTTGTCTCGACACCTTTTAGAATCTTTAGATCTAGATCTTAGTCATGTCCTTATAAAAACGCATTTCAATGTGAATTTCTCAAGACACGCAGTATGTAAATTTTCAGTTTTCGAGGACTCTCAATCTAGATGGCCTACTGAAATTGAAGATACTGAACTTTCATTTTCTCACTAATTTTACCTCTGCAAACAGCCGACTCCGGCCTCCTTCAACCGCAGATATCTTGATTTCTAATAAAAATAAATGGGTATTTTAACAAATATATCCAAAGCAAGCATGGGTCTCAATATTCCGCTATTTAGCAGATTTCCGCTACCGCCATTTCCTCTGCTAAACTCTGCTACCGCGACAGCGGGTCAATCAGAAAGAGAGTTGCTGGGAGCAGATTGACTGCCAGGCCTCGGGAATTACCCAGGAATTTGAAAAAAATCGCTGAGACGAGGGAAAATACGTAAAAGATCTCGAATATTGTTTGAAAACCAAATCCGATAACGTCTTTAAAAGTTCATTTTTGCTGGTTGCGATTGTGATATTAATTCGGCTTTTCCCGGTCTGAGAGTATGTTTCACGCGAACAGGCGGCTATGGCGGCAAGTGGAATTGTATGTGACATCGAAGCTCGACCGGAAAATCAAGATCTCAGAAATTTGTTTGTAAAAGTCTGAATACGCAACATTTATAACATGCAGGTTCTGGCATGCATTACAAACGTGGTGTCGCCATGAAAATAATATTCATCACTGTGCTGTCGCTTGTGGGGGGTACTTGTTTATACCGTAAACCTCCCGAAACCACGCAAAAACCACCCAAACCCCCCCCCCCGAAACAATCCGAAACCTCCTCAAAATTTATATGATATGATGTTATTTTGCTATGCTATCTATCGCTCTGTGGAAAAAACATTGATCTGTAATACAATATTGTCTTTTGTTTTAGTAAATGTTTTACTGCACTTGCAACACGATAACGTCAGACAAGTGCCGAAGATTAGAGGTGTTACAAGAGAGCAACAAACACAAAAAAGAAGGAGGCGGGAGATAAGGACGATAGATGTTTGATAGGAAAGAAGGAGCAAAAAACACCAGAGCACCCGCCAACCACCCACTTGGATACTTCTTGATCCCGAAAAAATGATTAAAACTAAAAAACAATACAATAGAAATAAGAGACAATATTTCACTTGGTTTGACTTATTTGTTTTTATTTCAAACACTTTTTATTTGGCATGTACATAGGAAAAGTACATATCTAAAAATAGTCTTGGGGAATTATTGGTATATGCTTTAGTTTTTATTCTACAGCACTTAAAAAATCGGCTTTTTGCATAACTGAAAAAAGGGAAAAAACCACTTTCTGACGCCATTTATCAAAAGCTACATGTGCAATCAAAAATTCCTCAAAACAGTTTCTAGAAATAGGAGTCGTTGACATTTTGGTTTGTGAAAGTTACATTAAAATCGAATAAGATACAGCAAGAAAATGGGATAAAATGTGTGAAAATAGCATTTTAAGAAAACGGCCGATAAAGGTCAGAAAAGGCCAAAATAGTTCTCTTTCCAAATAGAAACTGTAAAAACATATTTTAAACTCGAACATGGCAACTTCTTGATAATATTAACACAGTATAAATAGAATGAACGTTTCCTACTAAAACGGAAACATATAAGCTGTGTAAAACATGCCTTTTGAGAAAAAAGTGGCAATAATTTTCTTTTTAAAATTCTCTACCCTCTGCTCTAAAATCCCTTCAAACACCACTTTAGGGTATAGAAAATTGTACATACGTTTCAGGACTTTTGTCCAGGAAATATGTTATATAATAAGTGATAATCCAAGTTTTTATAATTTCACCCAAAAATATTTTAGGGGTCACTTCATGGTCACTTCTCCTTAGAATACTTCACAACATGCACAAGATAACAGAAATTAAATAACGCGTCATAACATTATGTGAAAATCTATACTTGAATACTACTATAATACTAATTAAAATTCTAAGAAGTACAGGCTATTAATTGCAACCTGAGCAGTCGCTCATCCGTTAAAACAAAATAAAGAATGGAGTTGAAAAAGGATTTCGCAAACCATCATTTTCTCTTATAAAAAGAACCAAGAACCAGCCAACAGAATATTTTATCCACTGAGCGATAGGTAGCATAGCAAATAACATCATATCATATACATTTTGAGGGGGTTTCGGATGGTTGTGCGTGGTTTCGGTGGTTTTTGCATGGTTTCGGGTGGTTTTGGGAGGTTTCAGTTGTTTCCGGGAGGTTCCCCGGGGCAAAAAAAAAAAGAAAAGAAAAGAAAGTTATATAAGCGTCTTGTCGGGCTCGTCATTGTGACCGGTCAATGAACCTGTGCGCGTTCTGAGCGCTGTGAAGTACAGGACTCCGGAATGGGGGGAGATTATTGATTTAAAAAAAAAGATACACAAGGGGATGGGGGGACGCAATACCAGAGGACAAAAAAGAAAAAGAAATTGTAAGCGTGTCAATAAACTTAGGGCAGGGGCCTAATTTTAAGTGCTCACGTTTCATTGTATGGGTGACTGTAAGTAAATGTCTCTATGTTTTTGCTTTTTGTTCAAGATTCGCAGATTTTCAGTGTCACTGCATCTTGCCCTCCCACAGTTCTTACACCTCTCACACTGAATAGGTTTACTTGAGCTATTCAAGTTATTACTCTACTTTGAGTTTGAGCATTAATTTTGTCTTTCACGTTTATTATATGAATCATTACACCCAGACTGGTTCATAACAGTCTATATTCTGGTTCTAGGCCTTTTCCCAGGGTCAAAACAAGATTCATTTTTATATAGTTTATATATGCAGGTGAATATGATGAAGGTAAAATATAAATAAGTCGCACAAGACCACAGTGCGCCTCCACTTTCTGTACGTAATCAAGATTGTAAATATTTGGTAAGTGACTCTTACTTGAAATTATCTTCCAAACCCTCAAACTGGTATGAAATAACCTTGCTTTGATAAATTGATGGTTTTTATTTCAACATTCTAGACATGGCTGTTACCGACCGCCAACTTACTCAAACCGCCAGCTCGCGGCACTCCCCGTAACCCGATACTCTGTGACCTTGGTCACCAGGTCAGAGCCACCGGTTCACTGCCGATGCCCAGTTACGGTTGTTTTTACATCGTTTTTTAAGCGTATAAACTGAGGCAGTAAACGAAAACTATTCTAGCGATCTCACAGAAAATCACACACACTGAATGATCAATATAGTGTGGGCACGTAGAAGCGATCGTGAAACTGTACTGGGTACTGTTACAGACTTGCAGTTGCCATAAAACTGTATAGTAATTATGCAAAGTTGTTAAAGGGTCAGATGTTTTAAGTAAAAATAGAACATGATTCTATCCTTAGATTTTGACCAAATTACCTTAGCATGATGAAAATAGGATAAAGAAAACACTCATGTGGTGGCATCATTGTACGTTTCATCAAAATCAAAGCAAAGATATTGAAGCTTGAATATAGAATCACAGAAAATTAGGGTCCTTGATAATAATGTCATCACAGTGCACTTACTACTCATTTACACATGTACATACATATAAACTATGTAGGCCTACCCCTGAAACTGGGAAAATTCGTCAGTCCTGCGTCATTTTCCTGCGTTTGACTGTTTAATTTTCTCCTAACTAAATGAGTATTAAGTTTTTCTTCTTCTTTTGTAAGTGGTCGCGTTGGAGAGATCTCTAGAGGCTGAGAGAAGAGCCTGCTGTGTTTAAATGCTGGAGAAGTGCTGCTATCTGCCACAAGTTGTGTAGGTTTGGATAGCGTGGATGTAGCAATAGGGGGGGGGGGGTACTTGAAGCTCAACCTCACTGTGGCCTATTGTTGATGATGCAGCGCTAGTGTCGAGAGATGCGATGTCTTCGTCCTGTCTTTATTCAAGCCTAGTATTGTCCTCTGTGTGTGTTTGTGTAGATGGCTCTGCAGTTGAGTTGTTTGCTTAGTTTGCTGAGTCTCCATATGTGTATGTGGTGAATGTGTTGTCTCTGTAGTTTCCGATGCTTTTGTTGTTTCTAATTCTACTGGAATGTTCTTGCTCCCCATTGATGTGTGATGATAGTGTGTCTATCGAACAGTCACTAGCGCTTATATCAGACCAAAAAGCTGTCCACAAATTTGAGTAGGTTTCATCTGCTTTTCTTGCCTTACTATAGATCTAGTTCCCGCATACGAATGTGTCCTACTGCTATCGTAACCCCAAATACCACAAAATATCATGTGCAAAGTCAATGCATTTGTACGCTTTTCTCTTTTGCAATTTCTGTTTCCTTGATAGACTTCTACCACCACATGTTGTACAAAGTTCATGAATATACCGAACATGGGACACTTCACTATGGCACTCCATTATGAATATATCAATATTCCCAATACTCCACAGCAAAAGAAAAAGCACAAGAAATCCAAACAAGGTGAACGAGTATTGGGGTACTTTGACCTCCTAGGTCTACACAAAATCGATCACTATGAATCACACAGAATAAGTACAATGTTCTCACTTTCACATGTAACTCAGTACACTTTTCTCAAGAGTAATCAAGAAAAAAAAATTTAATTGTAGGTAAGATTACTGAGAAAAATAACTTCAAATAAAAATAATAGATAAAAGTTGCTCTAAAAGTAATGAAGGATGGAGAGCACTTCTCAGCCAGCAGGATTAACACTAGTGAACGCACACTAAAGAAAATTATATCCTCTTGTTGGGTTAAAGCAGCCCTTTAAAATGAGACCCCATATGGAGACATCGCATCTTTAGATCGGGAGATATTGGGGATCAAATTAATCGAAAATGACTGGAATCAAGTTTCCTGGGCACGGCCGAGGCGCGGCGGGAGTGCTGCTGCCGTCACGGTACCTTGCACATCTGACAGCTGATTTATTACCATCTCGGGGTGGTCGGCTGGAAACCCTTGCCCGGTAACTAAACTGGCGGTTTTGGGGCGATTTAGACAGCCGTGTAGGGTCCAACAGTATAATAATAGTGGGTGTCTCGCGAAAATGGGCTTCTGTCACGATCACGCAGAAAGTTCCTCCTTTTTAGAAATTCTGAGTTGAGACCCATGAGCAAGGCAAATGAAGGCTTTCATGATATCAATTTCTCATGCCCAAAAATTTATGAGCGCCTGATTTCCACTGTGTTGTGACACACACACACGAGGTAGCGTAAACACGGCCTAGCGGGCACTCGCTGTCTTCCGAGCGCGTCGTATCGGTGAAATCAGGGTAATTCCGATCGCTGTTACTTTTCTCTTTCGCTATAAAACACCAAATGCCATACACCTTGTTAAAGTTAAAAAATTGACATGCATGCATTCAAATGCTTCGCGGAACGAGGGATGATTAAATACCATCTTTTCATTGGCGGAGAACTGTAGAGCTTTAAACGGGATTTCCCATGGTATATTTTTAGCCTTTGGCGTTTAAATTGAAAGCCTTTAAAAATACCGTAGAATATTTTTCAGATAATTTTTTACACGAAATATGCAAAATATCGGCTCTAAAAAAGGTATCAATTAAAAGACCAATTTATTGTCTATAAGAATAAAGTAATCAGTTTGGAATTATTTTGCATCAATCCTTCGGCGAGACTCAGAAAGCATGTGACCCCCCACGCTGGGTACACTACAGTATAGGGCCGACTTGCTCGCCGCGGGGGCCGGTGCGGCGCCGGCCGGGTCAACGCTCGGTGTTTTTGTTGAAATAACGACAGATCATCGTGTTTGGGGCGATAAAATACTGATTTGTAATGATCTCACAGTCTTGAAAAAAATTAGGCTCCATATATTTGTTATAGTGATTGTACTCTGTTAATGTGGAGATGTTTAGTGCACTTGGTACTCTTTTATTATCTGTCAAACATTGAGTTGCAGCCAGTGACTGACTTTAACAAATTTGATCGAATTTTAAACAACTACCGTTTTATTAAAAATTGACTGAGGAGTTAAAGAATGGTACCAAAATGCTCAGTGGATTTTGTTGTTGTTAGCGATCCAGTAGCATCTGAGCGTTAACTCTTCTGCATGATGCCATTCGGTAATAGCTGCATGTCTGTTCTAATTGTTGTTTTGAGGAGTAGAGGCAATTATATGTGTGGGGTAGCTTGGGATGGTGTCCATTGAGTTCTTTATAGCTTTACTGCAAATGTTTTGTAGAACAAGATTAAAATCAAAAACAGCATGCTCAGTGGATATATATAGGCCTTTCAAATGGAAGAGATAAATTTGGCAAACAGCTACTTTGAAAATGTTGTTTCTGGTGCCCCCACACACACACACACACACACACACACACACACACACACACACACACACACATATACACACACACACACACATACTCTCACACACACACACACCACACACACACACACACACACCACACACACACACACACACACACACACCACACACACACACACACACACACACTGTCGAACCTGTGTAAGTGTAAGACGGAATCGCAAGGGAGCCAGAAAAGAATTGGAGTTACCCGTGTTTGACGTGCAGAAAATTGCATTTTAAAAATAAAAATTGCAAGGTAAACTGCCTGAAACTGAAACTTGCAAAAATATTGCAACCTTCCAATCTCTGGCCCCTGGCGCATTAAAATGGGCTTAAAATTTTCAGTAAGAAAAACCTTGACAATTTGAGTAGCATAAAAAAGCAGAACAGCCTTTTAACAATGCACAATACAAATTTTATTGACAACATTTACTAGTTCTAGTAACAACTCACGAGTATGTTAACAATAAGTTATCGACCAAATATATAATACTGTGTGACACAAAAAGACGGAACCCTTGGTTTTCGTGATTCTTTTAAATAAATGCTTAAAATTTGACCAAATTTAGTACATACCGGGTACTTAGTTCATGCAAAGTTCTAGAAGTGTATGAAATTTCGTGAGGTTTAGTCAAAAAAACGAAAATGTGACGGGAGATTTACGAAACAACCTCTAAAAATACAAGAAGCTTATGCTCCAATCTGTTCAGATCCCATTCCATTTCTCTCTTGAAACCTTCGATACACCTGTAATCTGTATTTAGAGCTATTTCAAATTTTTTCTATTTTAAAACCTGTATGGTATAGTTTTAATACTAAGTTAAATTGTAAAATACAGCAAAAGAACATTTTTTCCATTTATAAACAATAATGATAATAATGTAGATCATTTCTACAGCGTCCACTCCCGCGTGAACACAGCTTAAGGCGCTTTACCTAAATGCATCATGTACTAACAATATTCACGCACGCACGCACGCGTGCGCACACACACACTCTTACGCACACCTTACACACACGCACACCACACACCTACTTGCTTATCACACGCGCACGCTTACACACATAATATCTAGATCTATGTCTCAGTTTGTGGCACTTGCCGTTTCTTTGATCAATCGTGTTTGTATTTTAGGCTGAATTTCCGGTCATAGATTTTAGAGTACGGCCCAGTGGGCTAGAGCTGGGCCATTGATTTACACTACTAGGCAAAAGGAGATTTACTGATTTACTCTATGAGCTGGGCCGATACCACGATTTAATCCGTACTGGCACCATTTAGTATTTAAGATTCTATTAAAATAGAAGTGTTGATGTAATTTTGCCTAAAATTTCAAGAAATTGTGAAAATTGCGATAAATTGTGGGTTTATTGTGGAACTCAACGAAAAGCGCGACCGCAAGACCGCGATTTCCTGGGGGTCCAGTCTATAGCAGCAATGAACTGCAAATTCAAAACCTACTTACAACATCCATTTATCCACTTCCATGAGTAACAGTAGGGTATTGCTGTGTGATGGTGTCCTTTTTTTGTTTCTTTTATCAGTACATGTTCATATTTTGGACAATGTTATCTCGCTTGTAAGGAAAAAAGCACTTTATGTTCATCGTCATAGACGGTGTGCCGGACTCCATTGATACTCTTGTGAGAACGAATTTTTAAAAATTTTGTTTTGTGTCATTGAGGCAAAGATGTCATTGCAATAGATACCTACAGAGAAAAAGTAATTTCCCTTGACTGAGATCCAGATTCCTATACAATGTTTTCTGTTCGTCAAGGGAAACTCCTGGAAGAATTTGACAAAGTGCCGGAGTGATGATGAACAGACTGTGATGACTTGGCTTGTGTGTGCATGTGAATGTGAGCATGGTGGACTGATACTGTCACCTTCAAGAATCGACACCATAAGTTAACAAGCGAGGAATGCTGGAAAGTTACAAAACTGGTTCCGTTTGTTTTCCTTCTGTTGAGGCACAAAAGATTTAAATTTAAAATTTAGATTAGATTCAGCATTGGATTGTCACAAGATATTATATACTATTTATAGAGATTATATTGAAAGCAATTTATTTCTTATGAAGGATTGTGGAATGTAACTAGTACTTACTTTACCGTGTGAAAGTACTCTGTTTGCTATCCCTTGGATGCCCAGCTTTGTTTTATGAATCATATTTGCTGATGAACATTGTACTTTTCATCCTGGGGTATTGTGGGCTCTGTGCCTCCTTTTGTAAAGTTCAGAGTAAAAGTACCTTTTTTTTTAAGCTTTGCTGACTCTGTGTTGATGTACAAAAGTCGAGTTTAGGATTAAGAGAGGCTGACTGGTCTGGTTGTGACTCAAAGACTTAGGGTGTCTGATAAGTGAAAGGCAGGATGGAGTTTCAGTTTATATATTTTAGTTTGAATGAGAGTCTGTTATGATCATGACTAAATGTTATAAGAAGGAACGGTTTTTCATTTTAAAGGCTAAGGTGTGAGTGAGTAGAACTGTCCAAGAGAAAATGTGTGGTGCTGTGATTTTGATAATGACTTGGTTGGCTGTACTTTTGTAAACTGTTATGCCATTGTTAAGTTTGTTTTGTTTGGTGTTGAAATAAACCTGAATAAGCCATTTTTGAAAGTGAAATTCTGCTACTGTTTTATATTTTGATTTTGATTAAGGAAGCTTAAAAAAGGAAGTGCAAAATTGCAAATGTTTGTGTTTGAAAGACAAATTACACTGTAAAACATCTCTTGAAATACTTTTTTCCTTTTCTGGATTAGGGGTGGTTTGGGAGGGGGGGGGGAGGGCTGGCTTGAGCTTTTTCTCTCCTTTCCAGTTGATCTCTTGGGAAAAAATCAAAGGACAGGTGAAATTTTGCGTAGTGATGGGAAAATCAAAAGAGGTGCAAGCTGAAGGAGTGATGGCTTTCGATCATCAAGATAATCCAACTGTTGGCTTAAAGTAAGTGAAGCAATAATTGTATCCATGGACAGGAAAAAAGTACCTGCTCTACAGCATGCTCTATGCGCTTTACAACAATCATTATCACAGGAGACCCAAGAACACCCAGAAACATTCTTGATTTTGGCTTCCCGGAAAGCATACAATGCAAGCTGCAGATTTCACACGCTCAAACACTAACAGTTAAACTGTCAGATTTCTACCTGGGTGAAGTGAGGACACAGCATCAGGTACCCAATATCAGGCCCCTGACAGGATTAGAACCCACAAACTCACGGTTGCGAGTCTGAGAGCATAGCCACTTAACTTATGAATTGATGTCCCAAGTCACAAGCTTTGTTATCTCATGAAATAGAAGTTCCTCCTGACATGTATTATCATCCATGCGGTCATCACCTCTTGGTGCTTTACTCGTGATACATCTGTACTACTTCGTACTTGTACAAGGTTCTAGGCCTGAAGAGATCCAGTTGAAATTGTTAAAATTGTCACCCATTGTCCAGGAGAAAAGTGGTTGCCCTAGACTGGTGAATAAAAAAAGTGTGAAAGTCTTGGACAGTGTCATCTAAAAATGCAAGGGAGATTGGGGGAGTGGGGAGTGATAGTCTTGGACATGTAACAACAAGTTCAACTGTAATGATAATACATGTAGTAGTAATAACTCATCTGTCAATGAATGTCTGATGATGATCAATGCATCCGTAGAGGAGAATAATAATTTCTCCAGTGAAATAGAAGAATTTGAGATGACTTGTTGATTTTGCTGTGGCTGATGAGTCCAATTCTGACAGAGAAAAGTTTGCCACATTTTGAACATTTAAAAGGATGTGCACAGCTTGTGGGCTTCTCTCTTGGTTTCAGCATTTCTTGTTCATGATGAAGCCTCATAATTTGCCGCTGACTGTGGCTGCTGCTCTCCAGCTGGGTCTGTCAGGAGCCTGGCTCTCCTATGTCAAAGTATAAATGTTGGAAGTCCTTAACATTTTTAGGGTTCAACTGTAATTGAATGATTTTATATGAATGGATCATAGTCATAGTCATAGGTCCTATTTTGTAATGCAGCTTGCTTTTTATAGCTTCCGTTTGTTAAACTGTAGGCTATCAATGTCACAACTGAAAAAGGCATGAGAGGCATAGACCCAGACAAGTCTTACTTCGAAAGTTCAAGAAACAGTACAAATCACCAGTCCTTTCTCTGTACTCTATGCGACTGACACTGACATGTTTTGGTATGAACTTGCCAGACAAAATTGTATTGTAAAATGTGTCCGTGTAATAGTATAGAATGTAGACGGTTACAGAGGTAGGCGTACAGCATAAACACTATTCACATATATTAAAAATCATACTGGTCTTGAAAAGGTGCTGACTTAGGGACAGTAGGCTTGAGTAGATATGAGCCTTCAAATTAATGTCAGAGCCTACATTTCTTACTCTTTATTTGATCATAAAGAACTTGTCTTTTAGTCAATTCTCAGTCCTTATGGACACTTTGTGAGTCTATGAGGGAAAATCCTTCACATCTTGCCGTCCTGAAAAAATACGCTAATGATGGAATAACAATCTTTTACTATCATATTTTTTAAAATGCAGGTGTTTTTACACCCTAATCGACACAATTTAGATCATTTAGGAGTCGGGGTTACGACTCTGTCGGTCATGGCCAACCCGGGCTAAGTCAAGAGCTCTATTCATTTCCAACACATTCGGGCAGAAAGACTGAGATAGGGCCTTCTCGATAATAATTTTCCTTCCACTTGGGAATTGAACTCGTCTGCTGCATGTGACAGCGAAGCACCTTATCACTACACGACAGACACTCGATTCATCAGACCTAATCCATACTGCCACAGACAAAATAGAAGCAGACGTAAAAAGGTCAGAAGTGTCATGTTAGTATTAATGTATTGTTAGCTAAAAACATGTAAAATGATATGCCCTGTATTCCTACACCTCATGAAGTGCTGTGTAGACTCACATAGTCGCTTCTTCCTCCCTGGCATCTTATGATCTACCAAATAATTAATGGCTCTTTACATCTGTGACAGATGGTCATAAAAGCTTTTAAGGTTGTTATTTGTGGTTTTCAGCTGCAGTTCTCTTGTAAGCAACATCTTTGTTCAGAGCTGATTTTTTGTGTGATTGAAAGACAGACTCTGCTGCATTTTGAGCACACAAGTCATGGATTTTCAATGTATTTCGACTTCCCTGTTTTTTTTCATCTTTGGCTTCTCTCATTTTGCTTTTCTTCAAGTCGCATCTAGCTGTCTTTCAACTTTATGCACAATTTACCTCTACTTGTCACGATCTTATTACTCTTCCCAGTTCTGTTGGCCAATGTTGCATGCTTTAATTAATTATACTTAATAGTGCTTTAGCAGCAGTCCTTGAAACACACATTTACAAAGCTTTGGTCTTCTTCTTCCTTCGTTTTCCTTCAGACAATTTTCCAAATAGTACTAGTACTTGTTTTGGTATGTGACTACCTTCCATTCTGCGCACATGACGCAGCCGTTAAAGTCTTTTTTCTGCTAATGATGGACATGACTGAAGACAAGGTGGTTTTTACTTTACTTTATCCGTCCTCTTGTTTGTACCTCTAGGGCATCGAGGGGAGAAAGAGCTTCCTGTCTCTAGCAAGTTTGATGGCCTAGTTGGTACCGGTACACAGCAGGACCTCGCACTCAGTTTTGCCTTTGATGTTCGCTGTCTGTCTAAGAAGACATAGTAGACACATCGTGGGAGCTGTCGAGTTTCTTTATTTGTCTACTGTATATTGTCCATTTTTCTGATCCATAAATAAAAATGTGTTGAGCACACATCGTGTGGTGAGGTGGTGTTGGTAGCCTAATGGTTAGGCTACTGGACCCGTAATTGTGAGATTGTGAGTTTGGGAATTCGAGCCTCAGCGCGGTCAGACATTTTGTCCTTGGGAAAAGAAATTTACGTTAATTTCCTCTGTGGCTTGGTCCTTTTCGGAGATGGTCCCACTTCTTAAATAACCTACTTACTAGTGTCGATAGGGCCGTAGTTAAACCTATGTCATTTCACACTTTGTGGGCGCTCAGTTAGCTCAGTTGGTATCATTTATATAGAGCGGATGGCCCTAGCTGAAATCCCAGACAGGGTGTTCTTGAACTTGGGTCGTTTTTGTAGAGTTTTTAAAGCTCTCAACCCATTTCTCTTTGTTTTTATCGGAAACGGATGTTAAATTTGGAGATCCCGCCTCTTAAATAACCCAATAGTGTTGACAGGGGAGTTAGTTACACCGATACACTTGCACTTTAAGTTGTAAATCAACATCTTTGTTTTTGTGTTCAGCTCCTTGTTGTTCCAGTTCCAGGCCCTTGTCAGTCTGCCTAAATCAAGGGAAGGCGAGTTGGTGATTGTGGATTAAAAGTAAAAGAAGTTTAACTTTTGAACAGCGTCTAGTTCATTGCCATTTAATTTATAGAGTTGGAGAAATTGGCGGTAGTGTGCTGGTACCACAACAGCCTTTTCGATGCTTATATGGTAAGAGAGAATATGTTATAAGCCCTGTTCATGAGCATGAAATGATTATACATGTTATTGCATGAATTTACTCAACTTACTTTCCTTTTGAGTTTTTTTTTTTTTTTTTTACCACAGTTGGATTTTGAAGCATTGTTAAGCCATTCTCACTCCAGTTGAAAGCTGATTTTCTTTCCATTTCAAAGATCTACAGTATAATCCGCTCACATCGACATGCTTTGGGAAGTGGATTTGATGTCGATAAATAAAAATGTCGATAAATGAAAATATTAAAGCCAAAGAGGAAAAAACAAGGGGAGGTCAGCGGTAAAAAGACAAATTACTTTTTTAAGCTGGTTGCTTCCCTTGATTATTACACAACTACACAGTGAAACTAACAAGAGGCAGAGGAGAGGAGAGGAGGGTTGTTGGAGTTACGGTACCAAAGACCGAGCAACACGCGAGGTGCACACTACACACCAACGCAAACTTTGTTGTAGCATCCTTTTATTTAAGGCAGGTTTATGGTTGCGGGAAATGGAAAGGCGAGGCACTGACTCGCTGACCGTGGCACTTGCCAGCGACAGACTGAGAATGGGGGGAAGGGGAAGGGGAGTGAGCGATCAGGAGTGGGGGTAGGGAGGTGATGCCCAGTGCGCGAGACGCTCACGTCTGTGAGGCACTGTACTGTGTTGGCCCTACATGACCTACTAAAGCCTAGAGTGTCGAATAGGCGTGGCTTTCTCCCTCATTTATGTTCGTGGGCTTTGCCAGGTACCCAGAAAGCATGTCGATAAAGCAGAGATGGCCGAAAAAGTCGATATAAGATAAATTATTTAGTGAAGATATTGAAAGAAAAATTTTATAATTGGAAAATATGTCGCTATGTCAAAATGTCAGTATTTCTCAAAAAATCATTTTGACAGACTGCTATGTAAAGCATATGGATTGGATTAACGAGTAAATTTCCTCTTTGGAAAGTGGTGGCACAGAGTTCCCCATGTTGTATGGATACGATAGTAAAACATGACGTACGGATAGGGTTAAGAGACCACTCAGATTAAATGACTGTAACTGTAAGCCTTCTATGATAGTGGATATCCTGTTATTACCAAGACTGTCATAAGTGTAGTCCGCTGTTTCATTGTACAAAGATGTGAACAGTAGGAAATTCCCCTGTATGATGGTGA